AGAAGCTCAGATGGTTGTCTTGATCCTCCCAGTCAAGTGGAAAGGCATAAGCAGGAGCAGATGCATCCTGTAAATCAACACATGGCTGTGCAGATAGTGTGGCCAGCAGGGCTTTTGTTTCTTTGACTATGGGAGGCTGCTCCAAGAAGAACTGCTAAGAAGAGACAGGATCCACCTGATGAAGAGAGGGAAGATCATTTTCACAGACAGGCTTGCTAAACCTAGTGAAGAGGACTCTAAACAAGGTTCACTGGGGGATGGAGACCAACCCCCTAAGGAAAGCGGGGAAGTGGGTGACCTGGAGGAAGCACAAGTAGGAGGGGGCAACAGGGGAGGCCGCCTCATTTTTCCTGAAAAAACAAGACAATTGGTTAGTTACCTCAGTTGCCTGTACATGCAGGCATGGGGACTGGGAAACAAGCAGAAAGAACTGAAAGTCTTCACACAGTTACGGTGATGTGATTGGAATAACAGACTTGGTGGGGTAGCTCACATGACTGGAGCACTGTCATGGATGGATACGTATAAACTGTTCAGGAAAGACAGTCAGGGGAGAAGAGGAGGAGGTGTCATGCTTCATGTAAAAGAGCTGTACGATTGCTCAGAACTCTAGTATGAAACTGGAGATAGGCCTGCTAAAAGCATCTGTTGTCAGAGAGGAGAGCAACAAGGGTGATGTTATTGTGGGTGTCTGTTATACATAGGAGAGTGAGGTGGATGAGGCTTTCTTCAAACAGCTAATGGAAGTAACCCTATCTCAGGCCCTTGTTCTCATGGGCACATCAGTCACCCTGACATCTTATGGGACAGCAATACAGCAGTGCACAGGCAATCCAGGAAGTTTTTGGAGAGTGTTGGGAAAAACTTCCTAGTGCAAGTGCTGGAGAGGAAAACTAGGGGCCATGATCTTCTTGACCCGCTGCTCACAAACAGGGAAGAGTTGGTGGAGAATGTAGTAGTTAATGGCAACTTGGGCAACAGCAACCATGAGATGATTCAGTTCAGGATCCTGAGGAAAGGAAGGAAGGAAGGGAGCAAAGTACCTGAACCTGGACTTCAGAAAAGAAGACTTCGACTCACTCAGGGAAATGATGGGCAGGATCCCCTGGGAGGCCAGTCTGAGGGGGAAAGCAGTCCAAGAGAATTGGCTATAATTTAAAGAAACCTAACTGAGGGTGCAAGAATGAGTCATCCCAATGCTCAGTAAAACTATCGAGTCTGGCAGAAGACCAGCTTGACTTATCAGGGAACTCTTAAGTGAACTAAACCACAAAAAGGAAGCTTACAAGAAGTGGAAGCCTGAACAAATGACTAGGGAGTATAAGCATATTGGTTGAGCATACTGGGATGAAATCGGGAAGGCTAGAGCACAACTGGAGTTGCGGCTAGCAAGGGATGTGCAGGGTAAAAAGAAGGGTTTCTACAAGTATGTCAGTAACAAGAGGAGGATCAGGGAAGATGTGGGTCCTTTAATAAATGAGGGATGCAACCTAATGAGAGAGGATGCAGAAAAGGCTGAAGTGCTCAATGCCTTTTTCACTCCAGTGTTCACAGGCAATGTCAGCTCCCAGACTGGGAAGGAGCACAGTTTGGGAAGGAGGTGAGCAGCCAACAGGGGTAAATGAACAGGTTAGAAACTACTTAGAAAAGCTGGATGTATACAAGTCTATGTGGCCAGACAGAATGCGGAAGGTAGCAAGGGAGTTAGCTGATGTGATTGCAGAGCCACTAGCCATCATCTTTGAAAACTCATGGGGATCTGGAGTAATCCTGGATGATTGGAAAAGGGCAAATATAGTGCCCATCTTTAAGAAGTGGAAGAAGGAGAATACAGGGAGCTACAGACTCACATCAGTCCCTGGAAAAATCATGAAGCTGGTCTCAGGGAATACATTTCTAAGCACATGGAGGAGAAGAAGGTCATTAGGAATAGTCAGCATGGATTCACCAAGGGCAAGTCATGCTTGACCAATCTGATTGCCTTCTATGATGAGATGACTGGTTCTGTGGATGTAGGAAGAGCAGTGGATGTGATATACCTTGACTCCCGTAAGGCTTTTCGTATGGTCTCCCACAACATTGCTGAAGTCAAGCTAAGGAAGTACAGCTTGGATGAATAGACTGCAAAGTGGATAGAAAAGGGGCTGGATCATCAGGCTCAGAGGGTAGTAGTCAATAATAGCTCAATGTCTACCTGGCAGCCAGTATCAAATGGAGTGCCCCAGGGATCAGTCCTGGGGCTAGTTTTGTTCAATATTTTCATCAGTGACCTGGAAGATGGCATAGAGTGCACCCTCAGCAAGTTTTCAGATGACACCAAGCTGTGGGGAGTAGTAGATATGCTGGAGGGTAGGGCTAGGATTCAGAGAGACCTCAACAAATTAGAGGATTGAACCAAAAAAAAAAAAAATCTCACGAGGGTCACTAAGGACAAGTGCGAAGTCCTGCACTTAGGATGGCAAAATCCCATGAACTGCTACAGGCTGGGGACCTACTGGCTAAGCAGCAACTCTGCAGAAAAGGATACAGTGGTTACAGTGGATAGTAAGATGAATATGATCCAACAGTGTCTCCTTATAGTGAAGACAGCTAATGGCATACTGGGCTGCATTATTAGAAGCTGTGGCAGAAAGCCACCTTGGTTTCTCCACAAAAATCTCTGCCCTGTGACACAGTGATTTAAATCTCTGTGCTGTGACCATTCAATTAGGGTGGGCCCAGCACACAGGGGACCACACCCTCAGCCTGTCTCTTTAGGGAACTGGAGCTGGCTGCACTCCTGAGGGAGGGGGAAACCTGCTCCCTCTGCCTACATGACTTGCATCACTTACCTGGGTAAGGGGTTTCTACCTGGGGAGCTGGAATCTGCCCGGTAACAGGTGATGCATTTCAGATTGGTTGGCTGACAGCCAACTGGGGCTGACCTCCGCTGGCCCAGGTGAATGAGGTCACAGGGGCTATATAAGTTAGGACGGGGAAGGAGGCGGTCTCTCCTCTCCGGCCATGAGGTGACACAGCAGCCAGGCAGGGGACAGAGAAGCCTTAACATCTGAAACTGGCTCTCTCCCCCCAAACTCACGAGCTAGGAACCGCCTGCCTCCAAAGGGAAACTTCACCTGCCTTTGGAAGATGCTTGTGAGTAAGCTACTCAATCTGATTAGATATTTAGCTGGAAGTATCACAGATGCGTAATCAAAAGGCTACCACAGCCAGACTGTTTGCTCTTTAGGATTTCTAGATATTGCTCTATCCTGTACCCTAGTTTACCCTACCCCCTGTAATCAATAAAGTTCTCCTTTTTGACTGGTGTGGGAGACTTATTGAGGGGTGGGTCTAAATTATGCCTAAGAGACCCCTTAGGTCTGTGGACTAAGGGAGACTATACCTTTTTGCCCCCGGACTTGGGGAAGTACCCCAAGTGCCTGTACTGGGTTGAGTACCCGTGGGACTTTAGGCCTGTGTTACCCCAAGGACACAGGGCCGCGAGACAGTCCATTCTTGGGGTGGTGGCGGCACGTTACCCCCAGACTAGCGAGTGTGCTCCGGGAGAGGGGTCGGCCGGACATAAGGCGCCCCTAGGGAGGCATTCGGACCTTGGAAGGTGGTTGGGCACAGGGAGGTGGGTGTCTCACCGCAGGAGCACCCCCTACTGGCCCGCTTCACGTGGTGGAAACAGCGGAGGGATACGAATACCCAGCTGTGATCCTGAGGTGGGATCTCTGCACCCGCCACAGAAGCGTTACCAGCAGATTGAGGGACGTGATTATTCTCCTCTATTCAGCACTTGGGAGGCCACATCTGGAGTACTGAGTCCAGTTTTGGGGGCCCCACTATGGAAAGGATGTGGGCAAATTGGAGAGAGTCCAGCAGAGGGTAATGAAAATGGTTAGGGGACTGCGGCACATGACTTATAAGGATAGCTGAAGGAACTGGGCTTATTTAGGCTAGAGAAGGGAAGACTGAGAGGGGATTTAATTTCATCCTTCAACTATCTGAAGGGTGGTTCCAAAGAGGATGGAGCTCGACTGTTCTCAGTGGTGGCAGATGACAGAACAAGGGGCAAAGCCTTGCCTGGAATGATACAGCTGGGGATGGTCCTGCTTTGAGCAGGGGGTTGGACTAGATCACCTCCTAAGGTCCCTTCCAACTCTAATGTTCTATGATTCTATAATTCCAATCCTACTTTTCTATGCTTTTATGATTAATTTGGACAGGTTTCTAAGTGCCTAACTCATTTTTGGAAATGGGATTTCAGTATCTATCTCACACAGATACTTTTGAGAATTGTACCTAAAGGCTAATATCTCTGAAGGGACTCAGGAGTTTTAGGGATCCACAATTCGTAGTAACTCAGTGAGAGTTGATGGTCTAACTCCTTTGAACTACTTTGAAAACCCTACTGTAAAATGTCCCAGAATTCAAATATTAATCAAATCCTTGGACTTCTGCCTTGTGGGACTTGAACACGTTAGAGTCTAAACTCTAAATTCCAAAAGGAGACAGTCCCGGCTTACAAATAGTGTGGATTATATTTTGTCCAAGGACGATACTTGGCACACTTCAATAGAACTTTGAATGAAGCACTAGATTACCTAGCAGCATACAACAGCCATTGAGTGAAATGCCAGTCTGAAATATATAGCATTTACTAGGGCTCAACCCCATAGACACTAGTTATTGGACATAGTGAGGGAATCATTCATGGTAGTCAATCTTTGATTTCATAGTAACTGATAGCAGAATCAGGCCCATAGGCTGTATATATGATGTCTTCACAGAGTTATCAAGCCTAACAGTTTGGGGTTTGTGTCATTTAAGTGTCAACTACAAATCACATATGAGAAGAGTTATGTGCCATTCATTTAAACAGGCCTGGGACAGTGGTATGACTTTCTATACAGTATTAGCAAACATGAGAAAGTAAAATAATAACTAATATATATACTGCACACTGTTCTCTCTCATATCAAAGTCAGGATTTTGTTCTTGTTTTTCCACAGAAACATATTAGAACTAGTTATTAATGTGGCTAAGACCGAATGGCATAAATTGCTTAGAAGACACAAGCTTGACTGTGTTACTCATGGATTAGGAATCTACCTACAGCTGCATTTTCACCACTAAGTCAGTAAGTTCTAGAATTATCCACAGACATGTTGGCACTGGCTCAGACTGGCTAACAAAATTTTAAGAAATATTTTCAAGAGCAAAGCAGAGATTTTTCAAGTCCTCTTTCATTTGTTTGAGTGTGGTCTTGACTTTCTGGAGTGTATTCAGAACCTCTATGCTGCAGGTGAATGGATCATAGCGAAGAGTAAAAGGCTTCTGGATTTTCAAAGCATAGCTTCTGTGGGGGAAAATGATATATCCATAAGTCCAAACATTATTTACCTATATTCATAATCTATGCCGCCTAATTTGTCACTTTTTTACTACACGTGCATTTAAGCACAGTAATTTACTCCACTGTTGGATAATACCTGTGTCTGACGGCACTATCCGACAGTACTTTAAATTAGTTTACACACATGTAGACAGTGATGCTTTACTGTGCAGTAAATTAGTGTACTGCGCAGTAAAGCACACATGTAGATGTGCCCAGTTAGGCCAGTACTGAACTGAAGTAATTCAGGAGGGGAGCACACCCTTTCAGTTATTTTTCTATTTAAAATAAGAAGTAGCCATGATAACCATCCTTATAGAGAAGGAAAAAATGGTATGTATGTATTACAGGTCCCAGAATATTTTCCTCTGTCCTTTGAATGAACAAAACAGTGATACCAGTCATTTATGGCAATGTTTCCATTTGGAATTTATGGCTGCTTATAGAAAAAACCCCAAAAACAAAACACGCTTTACCAGAAGAAGCAGCAGCATGTTTATTCAACCTGGCTCTGCAGCATCTGCATAGATTATGTGCTTCAGTGGGACTTTTTAGCACTTATCTAATAGCTGACTGAATCAGCTATTAGATAAAACCACCAAAAAAGCCCCACTAAAGCTCCCAATCTACACAGACGTTGGGCAAGCTGGATCCAGCTAAAGCAACCCTTCTTTGGGACGTGCTGAGCTCAGTGCAGAAGTGCACTGAGTTTAAAGTGCCACTTTTTTAATGTATGTAAGCAGCCTCTATGATTATAGTAGGTGCTAATAGTGACCTCTGACCTTAGGTTGCTGAGCAAAGGATTCTTGTGACTTTTCCAGAAGCTACAACACAGCTATAGTAGGTCTTGGAAATATGGCATAGAAAAAGTCCTGAAGCCAAAGAAATGTGTTTTCCTTTTTCTTGTGAATTTCTGTTCAGGTTTGACTAAAAGATATGCTCTTGAAAATCATTATTTCTCTTCTGCCATGTGACTTTTTAGCAGAATGTTTACAGAAAACTAAATTAATAACTGAACATGAACACTGTAACCTAAGGCTATGCCTAGCCTGGCATCACTCCCAAAACAGCAAACCATGCCATGGGAACCTTGGAACAACAGCCTCATCTGGAGGGTTAAGAAGGCGATTTAGACTGGTGTCCCATCTTATGACCAATGCCTTCCCTGACCCAGTACATAACCCCTGCCATGTATTTCCCCTGTCCTGTGGGAACAAAGCCTTCTGGTGTCCACTAACAGAACTGGTTCTGTAGTTAAAGCTGTGCTGAATGAAGAGCCAAGGCTTCAGCATTCTCAAAACCATTGCTGGCATAGATACCAGATGTGGCAGGAATACAGTATCGTGTTTTCTGCACTGAAGATTAGGATTTGGCCTGATGTATCCACCTGATTCAGGGGTCATCAAACTCTGAGCCACAGAGCTTTTGGATCCCACCCACAGAACCACAGATTTGGCAGCACTGTCTGCCCTGCACCACAGTTGGGCACTCAGGACCTTGGCGGATGGGGAATGTTCTCTCTGGTGTGCCACAGTTGGACAGCAGGGACAAGTGGCAGAGGTGGCTGGGTCATAGTGCCCAGTTGCCTCAAACCTGAGCTGGGTTGCCAACCCCTGGGGTAAATGAAGAAACTGCAGCAACACCATACTCACTGGAGTTTGGCTTTGGCATCTTCAAAATTTTCTGCTATGAAGTAGACAGGCTGGAAGGTCTGATCCTGATATGGGTGAACTGCAGTCACTTCTGGATCAAATGGCTTGTACTCAGGCTTGTTTGATAAAGCATACTGTAGAAAAATCAACAGCAGCAAAAATAAAAAGTAGAATTAAATGAATAAAAATATACTGATTAAGAATCTAGAATCTATTGGGGATGGCTCGATGAATTACTGGAAACTACAATTATAGTTTAAAGTTTATTTTAATAAACTGTGCTTCGTACATTAAAGCGGTGTCACATGGGTGCACTATAGCCCTTCTGTAGAAACAAATTCAGAGTCTGAAACCGTTTAAAATTGTATTTATGGACGTTAATGATGAAGTTAAATGGAGTTCATGGATATATGTGCTGGATAGTGCACTGACGAGAAAAGAAAACTGTTGCAAGTTACCCCTTCTCTGAAGTTTACATCGCATGTACCAAAGCACAGATTTTTGGCTGCACTGAGGGAGAGTCAACACATTCCCTGCCTATCTGCCCAGCCCTGCAGTAATATACAGCAGCCTAAAGGTTGCTCTAACACATATACCAGCTGACAATAGTTCCCAAGAGGATATCTAGTGCCTCCTTATTGTCCAATCCTTTTGCACCACTTCATCAGTTCAAGTAGAGCAACATGGATCAAAGAATCTGGCTCTAAAGTGCCAAATCTACTGAAGAAGGGGAAGTGAACAAGAGCAAGGTAACAGCCAGAATTGCAGAGAATGCCACATCATTTTTAGCAAAACCAAGTCTCTCCCTTTCATAAACATGAAATGCAGAGTAATAATTAGCAGGGACCAGCGGCAAAGCAATGCGGCTGGGTCCCTGGGGCACAGGGGCAGTGGGGACTTGCCTGTGGTGCAGCAGCAACAGGCTGATCATGATCATGGCTCTGCTGGTGGCAGCTGTTCTCCCTCCCCCTTCCTACCATAACAGAGTGATCATGATCAGGGCAATTGCCCCACCCTAGTTACACCACCGGCAAGGACTCTGGGGCAAATAATAGCAATTAAGCACAAGCCACAAACTCGCTTACTAAACAAAAATAAAGACTGAACACTGAGGGCCAAATTCAGTCATAAGGTATGTGTACACAATTCCCATGGAAGTCAGTGTAAGATTTGCCTGTGTAACTGAAGGTAGAACTTGGCCTCAGTGAATATAGAAACCCAGAAATATATCATTTGGTGGAAGAACTTCAACAGAGCCTAATGAATTTCTCATGTCACTAGAAGAACACTTGGCTCTGGGATATCACTAGAGTAAAATGCAAGAAACTCCTGAGCATCACTGAAATCACAGCAAATCTTGACTCTTCTCCAGTCAGCAGAATATTATCAGGAAACAGATAAATAATCCACAGTTTTGAGCATCTGAAGCTGGCAATACCACAAATGATCAGAGACTCTCTTGAGTCTTAAATTTAAATGGGCGGCTCTAATTTTTATCTGAGGCTAATTGGCACAAAACGAACTTTTCCAACCAGGACATCTTACAACACCTTCAGCTCTCCTGTGAAATATGAATTTTTATTTCCACCTAGGATAAATTTTACAATCTTTGCATTTTCTACGCCTGAAGAAGGGCAAGTGTGCCCAAAAGCTTGCAAATAAAGACTTTTTTTTGCAAATACAGTAAAATCCCTGTTATCCAGCATGAGTGGGGAATGCAGGTGCCAGTTATGTAAAAATTCTGGTTATCTGAGGCAGATAATGTAGAGCGGGGGGTGGGGGTGGCGGCCACATGCAGAGCGGCAACAACACAGGGTGGTGGGTGGTAGCTGCCGCCACGTATGAACTTTCCCGCCCTGGGTCTGTCCAGCCAGCCAGAAATTCCAGTTAATAAAGTACTTTAGCTTGTAGAATGCTGGATAACAGGGATTTTACTGTATCTTGTTGGGTTAATAAAAGATATCACCTTGACCATGAGCCCCTCTGTTCGGCACTCTCTCTGATATTTGAGCTATGAATTCAGTTTTGAGTCACTTGCCTCCTACCAAATAAGGATCAAAAATTTCTTTCTAAATACCAAGGTATGCTTGCTAGGGCTGCACAAAGCTTCGGTCCCTGATTAGATTCGGCAGAGATTGAGCCTGATTCAGTGGCCAAATCTCCAAATCTGAATCAAATCAGAGGACCCCTTAATCTCTCCGAATCAGACCCCTCCAAAATTGATTGAGAGAGATTCGGAAAGATTCAGAGATTTGGACATAGAGACAGCTTTAAATATTTTTTTCTACATACCTCTAGGTAGCAGGAGCTCATGAATGCTGTGATGCTGGGGTGCATGGAGTGTCCCACAGAAGTGCAGGGGGCTCCCCAGTGCACTTGGCAACAGACCCAGAAGTGGACCAGAAACATGTCTTCTGGGTCCTCCCTGCATCTCCCTGCATCTCCTTGGCTTGGGGACTGGTGCCTATTGGGTCTGAGGGGGCACCTGGGGTCCCCCTGCAGCCGATTGCTGAGCTAGGGAGGTGCCGGGGGGGGCAGCACGCTCCCTGGCAGACCTGGAAGTGGACTGGAAGTACTTCTGGTCCAATTCTGGGTTTGCTGCTGAGCATGTGGAGGGCCCCCTGCACTCCTGTAGGACTCCCCATGTGCCCCAGCATTGCAGCAATCATGAGCTGCACCTGCTACCTCAAGGTACGTAGGAAAAAAAAACTTTTAAATCTCTGTTTATGTCTGAATTGCTGATTCTCTGAATCAGTATTGAATCTTCAGATTTGGATTCAGCCGAATCGAATTGGGGACAGTGATCCCAATCAACGAATTGAATCACTGTTTCCAATTCGGGTCAAATCTGAATCAAATAGGGCCCTCTTTGCACACCCCTAATGCTTGCCCTGGTTATGCAACTGGCACCCAAAGTGCTGCAAATCTCTCAAGAGAGTCTCTGATCTTTTGCGGCATTCCCAGCTTCAAGTGCTCAAAAGCCGTGGGTTAGCCTCCCCCCTTCACCCCTCGATAATAATATATTTTTTAAAAACCACATATTTGTTTTATCATCTTTGAACTTTTAGGGCCTAGTCAGATTATATTTTCACACTTTTCTCTGCAGTCAGTCACAAGAGTTGCAAACAGCCTGCCTCCTCTGCAGGACAACGATGTGACTGTAGCATGTTGACATGCCTGAGCTGGTTTTAAATTACCTGGCTCAAGTACCTACGCAGCACTGCAGCAGCTGCCTCAGCATTGGTCACTGGTTATGTACTCCAGGCAGTGAGGAGTGCTTTTGCAGGCTGTGTGGAAACCCGGGTTGCCATAACTTGATTGCTACTGAGGCCTAAGCTAGTTACCTTAATGCTATCTTGGATATGTCAATACAGACAGCAATCATTCTGTTCGATTGCAACATAAATATACATTTTTAAATGAAAGTAGAGATTCTCCTAAATCTATGAGCTGGGGCTTTAAGACAAACACCACATATTTTGACAGTCCCACACAATGATAAAATTGCAAGAGCCAATGACACTGAATGAGATATTCAGTTCAAGTTGCTGACTTGAGAAATACAAAAGTTTCATTAAGCTTCCCTTTAGAACCTTATCTGAATTCTGAATAATTTGAATCTCACCCTAACTTGCAGGCCAGGTTGCTATGGAAGTACTGCAGACCTTGCCTAATATTTTGACCAAAGAAATTACAAAATTTGAGTAGACTTTGCTCTTCCCAATTCTATCATTTGCACTGCACAATATAAAGATACACATCTGAGAATACTTATGAAGTCTAAAATGTGCGTGTTAGTAATACTGAAGCATACGGCTGTGGGAATTATAAGCTTTGTGAAACAATATGGAAGAGCTTGAGGAGCTTGCAAGCCATACGACCATACTCTGCCATCAGTATTTAGGCGTAACTTATCCCTGATTTCAGTGGGAAGTTCTGCTGAAAAACTGATGGCCTGGAAGAGTGCAGAGAAATGAAGGGCTTGCTGTGCTGCAGAGGAAGGATATGTATCACTGAATACTGCCAAAAGTACAGTACAAGGTGTTACATGTTGTAGGACAGAGTCCAGCCTAAGTGTTAACATGAGGAGCATTTTATGTAATGCAAAACAGCTGACAGATACAGTATAATGGAAAGCTAAAAGTTGTTTTGGGATTATTCATACAGTTCAAGGAAGCAAAGTTGGCCAGTAGTCACTCACCTCACCTGCTAAGCTTCAAGTCAAACATGGTTCTCTGCTCTTTTTGAACATCTGCATGCTACCACTAGGTGAGTGAGTCCAGTGATAAAGACTCAAGTACCAGCAAGAGGCAGATGACATACAGCTCTCCTTATCCTTCATCACCTATGACCCAATCACTCCCACCACAATGACCCAGAACTTGGAAGGAATCAGATCTTGAGTGAAAAGCAGTTGGATGAAGCTGTACTTGAGCAAGACAGAGATGAGGTAGGTGGAAAACATTCTGGAAGTGTCCACAGCTGTACTGTAGGTGTCTCTAGTTGAAAGACTATGCCTGCAATTAGTCATATCAGTTGATAATTTAGGAGTGTTCTTGTATTTCTTGTTGACAGGGATTCATATGGTGGTATTATAGGTTATCGTCTCCATTTTAGGAATCCCCATCTCATCTGGCCAGCCAGTGACTTGACCTCAGTTAGTCATACCTCATCATTACCTCTGAACTGGATTATAGCAATATATAATACTTGGGGGTGACTCCACTAGACTTACAAAACTGCAAGCATGTAACACTCCAGTATGTCTCCTCAGCAATACGAGTTACCATGAGCACATCAGTCCTGCCCTTCTGTGGTAACATGCTGAGATCTCAGTTTTCATATTTAAAGCTTTCCACAGCCTGTGCCCAGGGGAGCTGTAACCCTGGAATGAATGGTGGACAAATCTGTACATCGGAAAGATTCAAATTTTTCATAATCAAAAGAAATTCATCTGTGGGGGAGACAGAACTTTCTTGGGAGTCACTCAGACTGTGGCCTGTTTTTCCAATAGCAAAGGACCTTCCTAAACCTCATCTGAGCTACACCTGTTCCTCTGTGCAGCCAGATCAGGGCCAGCCCCCACCCCTTTTCCCCTTACCCCCCACCCCAGACAGATCTAGCCTTAAGATGGACCAAAAAACACCCATCCAGCTCACAGGGTGAAAAGCTTGGGTTCACTGACCTAAATACTGCTGATAATAAGTGATCTATAAAAATATGTGTAAAAAAAAATAAAATGGTTCAATTGAAGTAAGTCATCGGGTTTTTTTTTGGCTGTTAAAAATCCCTCACGTTAACCAGTTGAATATGCATAAGACTAGTTGTCATTTACCCTTTAGGGTAACCAAATGCGAGTCAAACCAGCACATTAACCAGACCTCATAATTTTAATATGAAATAATTCTACCAGAAATAATGATTGGGAACAGACACAAAGGCAAAGCATCACTATTCAGCAACTGTCTGATAGTGATCCAGGCTCCAGTGACACCTCAGTGGTCTTGAGTTTGTGGAAACAGATTGATGTTTCTGCAACTATCCTTTAATCCATGGATGCTCAGCTCCTGGCCTGAAGTTCAGATATGATCCCTAACACTAGGTTATCCAGCCTGCAGGGATCACCACAGATCTGAAAATATGGTAAGAAATAATGCTGCCAAATTTCTGGACTTGTGGGGAGCCCCACAAGCCACAGAGCATGGCCCTGCATACTGAATCAGGTGCGCAGGGTGGTGTAGGGCCCCACTCCAGTGCACAGGGCCAGGCAGGGGTAGCTTGGGGCTTCAGGGCCTGATCTCAGCACATAGGGGCAGCAAGGGGCCCAATCTAGCCCATGGGTAAGCCCCATACTACCCTTCTGGCCTGTAAGACCCAAAGACTGAGCAGCACTGCTTTAGTCTGTCACACCTTTACAAGTCCTTTGCTGTCTATCATTTTGGTATTTTTCAATCACGATGATGAACTTACTCTCCCGAAATACCCTCAGGTAGGAATGGAAACCATTTCATTCTGGTGTTCTATTTGGGTACTATTACTATTTAAGAGTTTGGGTGATCCACTTTGCCATATTGGATATGTCTGTAGGCCACTTTCCCAGTTCTCTTGAAAGTGCTGCCAAGGAGTATGCCTTCCCACCCATTCCTGCTTCAGATGTTTGTCTACCACTAAGGGGGCTTTAATCCAGAACTTGAAAGATGGAGAAAACACAGATTCTGGTATGCTCAGATCCAGGTGCTGGAAACTAATGTTTGTCTTTAGCATATACCTTCAACAGATTCAAAATTCAACAACCTGGCAGAGGAGGAGGCGATATCTGATTCCACAGTTTGCATGATGCCTTGCTTTCTACATTCAGTTAAACAGCAGATATAATTCTGGCCTTTACAACAAAGGCCATACATTAACTCCATTTCTCTTGCACACAGACCTAGCCTTGGACTGTAACTGGAATCTCTATTGTGATTTATTTCTTAAAAGAAATTTAAAGCTTTGTCGAAATCCCTAGAGGCCACACTGTAGAAGTACTAGTTAACCTTTGCTGAGTTTTTGAACTTTGGCCTAGGTGCCTCAAAACATAAATATCTGGAAACAAGAGGGCCATTATCCTTTATTATTGTGCTTAACATCCAAATAAATTTGATTTAAAGATAGCAAGTATTCAGATGGGCAAGCAGGCAAAACAAATACTTACTCTTGTTCCAGTCCAAGTTTTGATCATGGACCTGCTTGTTTTTTTAAAAATAAATTATATCCAGTATAATCTTCATAACTGTTGATTATGTAGACACACATGAAAAAGGAACCTTTAAAAATATTAAAATCTCACTGTCTCTCTCCTAGAACAGATATAAGTCGAAACCAAACATATGATATTGAAGCTTAATGTAAGAAGATGCCCACTGGTCTATTGTTTCAAAGACAGAAAGTTCAATGTTATATAGATGATTCATGTACTGCTGTTATAAAGCTTTTAAAACAGTCATTAGTAGTGTAAGGATGGGTGGGCAAGTAGGGCATGCCTAAGCAGAGAGACAGAATTGAGCGGAGGGGACTGCCTCATCCTCCTAGCCCCACCTCTCCTCCATCTGAACCCTGTACCTTCCCTGCTGTGGCTCTGGTGCCAGCAGTGTGGAGGAATAGAGTGGCAAAAGCAGCATATCGTGTAAGAGCAGCTGAAAGTTCACTACTGAGGAAAGGAGATGTCACCTGCTATTTTGCTGGTGATTTTTTAGCTGCTCAACACATGTCAGTGGCAAAAAAAAGGTGACTTTCTCCCCTGCAGCAGCAAACCTCCAGCTGATGCCTATACAACCAAAGTTGCCACTGCCCAAGACATGGTACTGCCCAATTACACCTCTGACACAAGCATCAACAGAGCGAGCACAGTACCTTATTGTAACACAGGTTTACATATTAGTGGGCCCATCTACACATTCTTTAATGCACCATAATTAGGGCACATTAAGTTTAGTATTTCTAATTACAGGTACTAACTTAATGTGCTTTAATTAGCACTACTGTGCAGTAGTGCTGGTGCATGCTTTTTTGTGATGTTAATGCTCAGTAGACTAATTCTACTGTGCGTTAGCACAGTTTTTGCTGGTTGCACTAATGCTCAGGAGAATTAATCTACTGTGCATTTAGCATCTTGTGTAGACACACCCAGTGTTAATCAGCAAGGATCTCCAACCTTAGACAAGGGAAAGCTCCTGAAAGCATGCACCATTCAATGGGCACACCAAACCTGTTATTCAATGTGCACGTGTTTTGAGCAAACCAGTGCCAGAAGTCTCACTGGGAGCTAAAATGCAGATAACATCTGATTCCTATCGAGTTGGCAGCTCTTTAAAAAACCTTGCAAGTGTCTTCATATAGCTGGCAGCTTGCCTTCCCCATACTCTCACCTGGAGTGCTGCAACGCCCCATCAATGAATTTTGGGGAGGTTTGTGCAATGTTTATGAATGAGGTAGCAATACAAACACCTTCTAGCTATAGTCACACAGGCTGCATTCATGGTCTCTCACAGTTCTGTACTAGAATATATCCCCCTACTTGTCTAATGTTAAAATTTTCCATGAAAAGTTTTGGCTTATAGCGATGCTTTAAGAGAATGCAATGTTACCTTTGGCATTTACTAAGGCTCCAACCCAGTAAAACACAAAAGAACATATTTAAGTATCTGAGTAGTTCAACTGACTTCAACGAGACTACTCATGTGCTTAAAACTAAGTAGGCAAATAAGTGTTTCACCAAATCAAGAAGTAAATGGCTGCTTTACTATCAGATAATGGACCTAGGCAAGAGGATACTTTATACCTCCAACAAGGGTTTGGTTTCTCTTCCTCCTACATTAATACACTGCACTATATTTAGATAACTGGTGTGTGTTTTCGTACAAAATGAGAGAGGTTCCAGGCTAGAATCAGTTTTAAAGAATATTTTGGAATTTATAATTCTTAAAAATTCATCTTTGCCACCTTCAGTGATATTACAACTTTCTGACATTCAGTTTATGTGAATCATGTGAAAATTCAGGGTATTATTCATTGACAAAAACGTGCAAAATTTTTATAGGTTTAATACTGCCCTCTAGTGAGTAGCAGGGACAACTACACTAGTTTAAAGCAGGGGAAAGCCAAGTTTCTACAAGTAAAGGTTTAATAAAGGCAGTATAACTGCAAGCAAGTATGGTTAGTCTTCAGAGCTATGTTAACTATTTAATTTGAAGACAGGCACAACTCAGCAATATTTCTATCCATATTGTAGTGTCCATTGCAGGAGAAAAAGGAATATCCACTCTTCCCTTAGGAGTGAAGAGTGAAAAAGGAAAGCTTTTGAACATGACACTCAGGTGGTTTTAGAAATATCCTCATGATATTTGATGTCAGGAATAATTACGATTTTTTTCCACAAAAGTTTAGAAAATGGACTATAGAAATAAATAAAAAAAATATATATTTTACTTACTTTAAGCTCCCCATAAGATGAAAGGAGTCCTGCCCCATAAGCTTTGATGGATCCATTTTGTTTGCAGAGCCCAAACTCAATAGTAAACCAATAGAGCTGATGAGAAAGAACATTTAGTGAAAACCACCATCTCCATAAGCAATCATTTCCCTTTATTGTAACTTTCTTGTTGCCCTGTCGCTCTTTTGTTTTTTTTCCCCTTTATTACACTTTTCTTAATTTCTTGCTATTTTTTTAAACAAGTGCATATATTTTCAGAAGATATCCACATCCTTATTTAAACTACATTATTCAAACGTGAAGTCACTCTGTCCATACTATAGGGAAACTGGACATTATTCTTTTACTGTATGTCTGCTCCCAACTCACCTTGCTTTGTAAGATGTTACAAATTACATCGAGCCATGTTAGCTCTCAGTTGCATCTTAGTCAATAGATCCATAGAGCTGGAGGAGTCCCCATAAAGGTATAATGAAAACCCATGCAGACCACATGCTAGCTCAGGCCATAAATTATAAATATCTCTACTGCACTTCTCTAGATGGCATTATTAGCAGAATGTTTAAATCGTTCCTGCTTTAACAGTGACATTCACTTAAAAATGAAGCCAGATTCATCTTTATCTTGTTGCTGCAGAAAACAAGCAGAGGTATCAGTTGGTTGACCTTGCCAGTTGAAACTGTTGATACATTACAGACAGGTTTGTAACCTTGCCCCACAACCCTTTGCTATCTCTTCCCTCTAAAGGTGCAGGGGGAGAAGGCAGGCATAGAAGGCAGAGTCTGTGCACTCAGCACCTTCTCCCAATAAGCTGGAGGGCAAGGAGGCGACAGGACCTATGCAGGGAAAGAACAAGCCAAACTTTTTTCCAAAGGTTTCCCTATGTGTCACTTCTAGAATGCCAGGTTAGTTTGGTTTTTCTTGACCCTAATATCTGTAGTGTAATCCAATGTAGTGTATGGGGCAATGTGGGCAGGTCAGGCATGCCTGCTGACAGTTTTCAATCTGTCATGGTCACACCCAGTTGTGTAGAAATGGACAGATGAACCTTAAGAACTGGGTGAACTAAAGGGTATTTTAGAGATTGTTTTACTAAAAATCGCATGGCAACATTATTAGGGACTGTACACAGACAGCCTGGAGCTTCCTGTTACTTTAAGATAAGAGCAGCTCAGCCAGGGAGCATAGCAGGCTAAGAAAAACTGCAGGGCATCAGGGCAATAGGCTAATGGGGTAAATGGCAGGCACCTACAGGCATTCAGCTGATGGATGTAGGCAGTGTCCTGGGAACATATAAGCCCAAGGTTGGGGCTGGCAAGGGAGTTTCTCCCTGGCAGCTGCTAGGGAAGGAGCCCCTGTCCAGGAGAGCCACCCAGGGGTGCTGGGCTTACTGCCTGCAGGAACAGTGGGGGCTTGGGGAGCTCACAAGGAGCCTAGGATGCTGTATTAGTGAGTGAAGGCTTACATTCTTAAAGGGACAGGGGGCTCTTACTCCTTTATATTATGTTGTAGCCCAGGAGCTTATGTTTACATTGTGTTTAAACTGGCAGTTAAGTTGGGAGTGTAGGGGAGGTTTATGGAGGTCCCATTAGTGCCCAAGGGGCACGCAACTGCCTTAAGCCCAGCCAGGGGCAGGCTCAAGGCTCTGGTGAGTATTGAGCCTAGAGTAGGCATAGTGTGAGGCAGGGGCCCGGCACACGGGGACCAGGGGATGGTGATGGAAGAAACAAACATGAGCTAGGGCCCCAGAGCCAGGTCCAATGCAGTGGGCCTGGGCTAGAAGGCCTAGCCAGACTGAAGGGGTGGAGGCCAGGGAAACCAAAGCCTCAACAGTGATGACTATAACACCCACAAGGCATGGGGCACGGTGCAGGGGAAGATTTGAAGCCAAGCAATTAGCCCGTAAGGCTTGAGGTACCCTCCAGTGGCACAGCTACTAAGTAAGGTCCAGCAAGGGGCATGAGGACTACTGATGACCACTAGGGTGCTGCGGACCCTAGCATAGGTTCAGTGGAACCGGAGCTATGCTAAGGTCTGTGGGCAGCCTCCCTATCTATGACTATTTCTATCAAGGCATAGCAGGCAAGATGGGATGGTGCTTTAGGGGCAGAGCAGGCACTGTCACAGAGCCACCAGGGGACAACAGCCGCCCCTGAGACCGTAACCTTATTACAGGGACAAATCATATTTCATCTTTACGTATCTACATGTACTAATGCATCCAAATGTAGCTGCATAAGTGCCTTGGAAGGGAAGACACTCTGGCTGCTTTCCCTACTGCTAGTGGGGCAGACGCTGTCCTACTGCTATCTCTTCATGTTATTCTGCAAGAGGCAAAAAAGACCTTGAGGTAGGGGCTAGAATATAGGGCATCCTTCCTTCCAGGACAGTGTCTATCTCACTGAGCCCTGCTCCCTTTCACGTGTTTTAGGATGAACTTTTTCTACTAGGAGGGTAGTAAAGCACTGGAATGTGTTTCCCCAGAGATGTTGAGGAATCTCCAGCCTTGGAGGTTTTTAAGACCCAACTAGAAAAAGCCTTGCCTGGGATAATCTAGTGGGCCCGGTCCTGCTTTGAGCAGGGGGTTGGACTAGACTACCTCCTGCTGTCCCTTTCAACCCTAATTTTTTATGATACTATACTTGCCTCCTACAGCCATGTATCTTCCCAACTTCAAGAGAACAGCTGGATGGTACTGGGCATTGGCCTTACCTGGTAGTAAGAACACTTTGCTGGGAAGTGCAAGTTCAAAAGCTCCGTGGGTAAGGGTGAGCCTTAGGACCTCACTTTCCTTCTGCCTGGGCTACAGAGCTAAAAGGTGGGTGAACATACCTCCTATGGTAGCTAATCATGCTCTTTTTCTCCAGTCACATTAATGGAAGCTTGCAGTTATATACCTAATCAGGAAATCCTTCTCCACATAGTATCCATGGCCAGAAGGAACAGCCATAGCTTCACAGGTAGAAATGGACTCTAACATCTGTGTAAGTAACAATTGGGCTAAAAAGTGGCTTTCTACTTTCCTAAATGAGTGGTCTAACCACACAGATACAGGCGCTAAAACATATAGGGGTCTGTCTCTGGTGTTGTGTTCAGATATGTATGCAGTTGTCTACAGGTGCTGGATTATGTGTCAAATGGAATCTTCAACTGTGCATAAATACCACAACCTACTGGTTAAACAGTTTAAAGGGGGAAAAATGCCACTCTTGGGTTGCAGATGGCTGTATTGTATTGTACTTTCTACTACATGGGCCCCAGACTACTTAACACAATTGTGGTTAGATAAGATGGGGTAGTCTGTAGGCCAGCTGCGTCTCTTTATTGTAGATTAAATTTGGTAGTCAATTCCCTAATGACTGGTGCATTCAGTCCTCAGGGGATGGATCCTCAGCTGATGCAAAGCAATTCAGACTTCAGGGGAGCTATGCTGAATTACTCCAGCTCAGGATTTGGCCCTGCGATGTCCTAGATAACTTGCGTAGTCTTAGTACCAGCCCGCTGTTAAGACCTAGTTTTTACACAGCACTCTTAATCAATAGGCCTCACCATGCTTGACAGAAGAGGTATCTAGGGGTGTGTGAAGCGGACCCTATTGGATTCAGATTCAGATTCAGCCCAAATTAGGGACAGTGACTTGATCTGTTGTTTCAGATCACTGTCCCCAATTTGATTCAGCCAAATCTGAATCTGAAGACTTGAAACTGATTTGGAGAATCAGCGATTCAGAAACAGACACAGCTTTAAATATTTTTTCTACATACCTTGAGGTACCAGTGCAGCTTGTGAACACTGCAATGCTGGGGCGCATGGAGCATCCCACAGGAGTGTGGGGAGCCCTCCATGTGATCAGCAGTGAACCCAGATGTGGACTGAAAGTACTTCCAGTCCACTTCCAGGTCCACTGAGGAGTGCACAGGGTCCCGTTCCCCCCCACCCCCCGCATCCCCCTGGCTTGGCAATCAGCTACGGGGGACTCCAGGTGCCCCCCCCCTCGACCCAGGAGGCACCAGTCACCAAGCCAGGGGGGCAGGGGGGGCCCTCCAGTGCACTCACCAGTGGACCAGGTGTGCTTCTGGTCCACTTCTGGGTCTGCTGCTGAGCGCACTGGGGAACCACCCCCCACCCTCGCGCTTCTGTGGGACACTTCATGTGCCCCAGCATCCATGAGCTGCCTGTATCTTGAAGTATGTAGAAAAAACATTTAAAGCTGTGTCTATGTCCAAATTACCTAATCTTTCCAATTTGATTCAGAGAGATTAAAGGGTCCTCTGATTCTATTCAGATTTAGCGATTCAGCCACCGAATCGGGTCAAATCTCCACCAAATCAAACCAGGGACCAAAGCTTCACACAGCCCTAATCACTACTATCCTTACTTTTACAGATAAAGTAAAACAGAGGCACAAGGATGCTTCAGGTCACCTTACAAGCAAGTGGTAGTACTAAAACTAGAACCCAAATCTCTGAAATCCTAGACCAGGCCTGATATACTAGGCCACACTTTCTAAATAGCAGCAGATGCCCTGCAACTGCTTTTAATAGTGTTCATGTTTTGTGACTCCCATGAATGCATGGATAATCTAGCACCTTAATTTTGCTTATACAAAATTCAATTCTTTCTTCTAGTAGTGGTTTCTCTTAATATTAGGATGCAAGTATCTAGCCTGATTGCTGGAGTTATGTGACTATGACATCAGTTGGTAACTTCCCTGTAGCTCAAACTGCATGAAGACCCTGGGACAGGAATACATTCCTCCTGTTCAGGGAAATATTTAAGCACTTGCTTGAAGTTCAGTATGTGTTTTTCTTCTGTCCTAGAAAGATATGGATTTCAGCACATGCACTACTGCAATCTGAATTAGACAAAGTTAAGAGAAAATATTTTGGCTGCTTCCATTTTGGGTGCCCACCTAAAGAAGTGTGAAAGGGAGGGCAGATCTTCAAAGGGCAGGTACTCAGAACTTTTTGGAAATCAGGCCGCTGGCATTTTAGCACGGATATTAAAATGTAGCTTATACTTACTGTTGACAGTTTTTCAATATCAGCATCCAATGACCCAAGAGAAGCCAGTCCAATATCCTAAAGCAAGAAAGTAATATCACAGGTGTGTTATTGGTTAGCCAGAAAGAATGTAGGGTGGAAGGGAGAAGACTTGCCACATTTCCAATGTGAATTAGCCCTTCTTGTTTTTGCAATAAACATGTCCTTCCATGGCTTCCAGAAGGCCTACCATTTGTGGATCCCCAACAGTGCTTAATCCAACATCATTCTTGGCATAATTTTGACCAGTTCTTGGCCTGTTGTTGACCCTTGCACATGCCCTCTCACTAAAGAATGAGAAACCTTGTGACTAGGACAGAATGTATCCAGCTGGACTAGAGCATGTCCAGGATGCTCCCACTAAATGATTAGGCAGCGCACGAATCATCTATTTCCCATCTGCCAGCCCTTTTCTAGATCCCAAGCCAATTCCACCCCCCACCTACTCACCCCTACCTTTCCAATCACTTCTCCTTTGTCTGCCCCCTCTGCCTTCCCCAAAACTTGCCTGTCTTCTGCTTCTGTTCCTGCCTCATACTATTCTTCCATTTCCCGCAGTGAGCTGGCTCCCATCTTCCTGTTCCTGATACTTCACTCTCAGATTCTCCAACTCCATCCCTAACTGTACAGAAAAGAATCCAGTAGCTTGTTACAGGTGGAAATGAATGCACTGGCTAAGACAACTGCCATCCTCTCAGCAGCAGAAACTTGGCTATAAGCATGAAACAACCTGATTCGAGTTTCAAGAGGCTAGCTTATTCTGCCTTGTATTAATTAGGTAACTCTGAAAACTAAATTGCCTTGTATTAATTAAAGAGACAGAGGAGCAGAGTTGGACCAAGAAACCTGTGTTAGTCATGGAGTAAAAACCTTCTAGTCAGACATGCCCTACAGGCAGAACTCCTAGGGATAATGAAGTTCCCTTGATGACTCATTTACCTTGGTAAGCTGGGCGAAGGCATCTCTGGAATTGCTTATTATACAAGTTACATTGTAGTGCTGCCATATAAATGGGAATTATAGGTCTGCCTCCCACTAATTTGACTGGGGGCTGGACTTAGACCCACTGGTACTTCAAAAGATTACTGCCATTTCTCAGCACCAGAGGTTCACCAGGAAAACTCTGCTTCCTCCCTTGTATATTCCCTATTAAGCTAATTGCATCTTTTTAAGGATGGGTATTCCCTAAAGCTGCTTCTTGGTGCAAGCCCTGGATACTGTGTCATAGTAACAAACAAACAAAAGTGGGGTGACTTTACCATTAATTTTCTCATGATGGATAAAATATAAAAGAGTTTCCATGAAACGAATTCAACCATAAAAGCACTTGATGTCATCCAGTTAAATCACCATGAGCCTTTGTGATCCTATGTTCTGAGCAGGGAAAACAACAACAGCTGGTGACTCTGAAATGACTATATAGTCGTTTTCCTACATTTTTAAAATATTCTTTTATTTGTAGTATGTCTAGTACTATAGAGAGAGTTTCTCCATAATTAATCACAGTCCAAGTCTGGTAGATACAGGAATAGGCTCAGCCTAGATTATAATGGCAGCTGTTAGTGAAGCCTTAGCGGTATTGGTTTTCGTGACATATGAAGGGCCCCAGAAGTGTCTATTCAGTACATGTCTCAGGTGCACAGTTCTTTGGGGCACTCATTGCTACTAGAATTTCTGCACTCTTCAGTCCAAAGCCGTTAGCAGAAAGCATTTCTTACCTGAGAGAACTGGGCAAATTCTTTGTCAGCTAACATGGGAACATGACCCAACAACTCATGGCAGCAGTCACTGGAAGAAAAGTCATTTTTATCATTTAAAAAAAGAATAGTTTTATCCTACAGAGCAATTCCAAGCATGACTTATCTGCTCTTTCACTGCTAATCTCTCCCCACTCCATCTGCACATAAAATTTACACACTGTCTTAAAAAATGAAAAAATCTGTGGGGAAGATTTTCAGCTGGCGTAAATCTAGTAAACTGTGCTGGAGACTGTGCTGGAGACATGCATAATGGCTCGCTGTACTAATTGTTGTTCTGGGCCTACAACTGCTCTCATTTCCTGCTACCCCAGTTCCTGCTGCGTGTGCTCTTCTGAGATTCCCACCAGCCCATCTCTTCTCTGTCTTCTCGCTCTTCATCTTTTGTATCAGTGCCTTCCCCCTCTATGACTCCTCCCATGCAGTTTGGAGCTCCTTCTATCTTACAGGGTGCTACCACACTTCCCTCTCTACATTTATCTCTCTCCTCAAAATATGCTTCACCTGTGCAGCCTCTCAGCAGTCACCATGCCAAGTTCTGAGCACATATAATAAAAGTAAAATATGAGTGGCCCCAAATCCCACTGACTTTAGTTAGAACTACATTAGAAGTCTTATCATTGAACCTGTGATGTTCAAGTTCAACAAAACGATCTCTAAACAGAAACTCCAAAACAAAATGTCCACCCCAGCATAGCCAATAAATTTGGCAGCTATATGGGATAAGAGACCAAGTTTCAAACCCATATTTTGCATCAGACAGAGCCAGGTCATTTCATGGAGCTCCCACATCCCAGATGACTGTCCTAATGAATGGGCTAATGTAGGATAAGGGTGGAGTCACTTTTTCAAGCACTTTTGAAAGGTCCCCATTTTGCCCTGATGCAGAACAAAACCAACTACCAAAGCCTTGTAATTTTCCATTGTAACCCAGGCAGTTCCCCAAGAGGTACCCCCTCTCCAATTGAAGGGATCAAAGCAGGTGCATAAGTGCTGTGGGAGGTGTAGGGACTCTCCTCCCCCTATAGAGCAGAGCCAGATCAACAATGGGGACTTAACCATGTACCTTTTAATGAGAGAACAATACTGGGAATATAACCAATATAAACCAGGGGGTATAGGGGACACTACAGTGCCCCAAGGGGGAAGGATTTAACAAAGGTTAGACACTTAACAATCATAGACATAGTCATCCAGTTGACAAGAGACAGGGTTAACCAAAATGTAAAACACAAACAGCAGAACAAACAATACTGGTTGGTGAAATATAAAAGGCACAAAATACAAAATGTCAAATGACAAGGAATATAGGGCCTAGGTACTTGAAGGGAGAGAAAGGGGGAAAAACACAATGGCCCCTTTCCACTGCAAGAAGAATTTCTCCCTGTTAGCTCACTCACCCCAAGTCACCGCAGCTGGGACTTGAACTCAGATCTCCCACGTGGTAGGTAAAAACACTCTACCACACAGCCACCAATGCTGTAGCCATGCCTACTTGCAAGGGGTCTTGATCTTCCTACAGCCCTGGCCTCACATTGAGCTGCCCAGCCTCTGATTGGAGGAGCTGGAAGCAGAACTGGGAACCCCTCAGGTCGCTGCTCAGATCCTTGCTGGAGCTGGGGAGCCTCTCCTGCTGGCCACAGCCTCTCCCAGGGGATCCTGGAGCCCAGCGGGGAGCCTCTCCTGCCGGCCGCATGCCACGCTGCTGAGGGTCCAACTGGTGCCTGCAGGTCCTACTCCTTCAGGCTTTTCTGGGGCAACTGCTCCCACCTGGCTGGCTCTTGCCAGCTCTTTGAGTCTCCTTCCTTATGGTTCCTCACTGTCTTCCCTGAGTCAGCAGCACTGCCCCTTTTATCCCCCTCCAGGTGACCCAAGGGG